GACGGGGAAGAGGTGTCTGACGATGGTCAGGATGCCCCCGTGATTGCGGGATCGAGCAGTTCCAGGCCTTCAAGAGGCGGGACCGTCCGGTCCGCCCCGGCCCCAGAGGTGCCTCGCCCCAATGCTGACGGCCACTATGGATGCTCAGCTCCTGGATGCGGGCTGGCCTTTGAGTCGCTGGTGCAATACCACTTGCATCAGGCGGCCTGCCATGGCGCCTCTCTTCCGCCCAACCTGGGGATCAGCCCCTCCGCACCTCTTGACCCTTTTCGTCAAGACTGGCGGGGACGGTTGTTCCGCCGAGGAAAGGACGGTGGGTATGGGGAGGTGCCCATGCTCGGTACCACAAAGCCAACGGGTACGATCACTCGAAGGTCCCGCTCCTGAAGAGAGGGGACCGAATCCAGCTTGAGGACGGATCGCACCACATTTATGGTGGTAGTCATCCATCGGGGTGGCTTCGCGATGACCCCGAGCTGGATCCCGCTCCAGAGAGTAGCGGTGGAGGGTCCACGCCCAAGAGCGAGCCCACGGAGGAGGCCGAGCATGGACCTCCGCGGGAGGCCGCTCCGCGCGAGCGGGCCCTCGGGCCGCCGACGAGCGACGTTCAGCAACGCCTGGCAGAGCGTCGTCGTTCCAAGCGGGATTACTCGCCAGACCTGGTGACACCTCTTGACGATCTCCATGCCCAGGAGATCGATTCCTTCTTCGCGGGCGACCCAGCCGCGGATAGCCTTGACGTCATTTTGATGCGCGCCGAGTAGCCCCTCAGAAATGCCCACTTGCCTCCCAAAGTGGAGAAGCCGCAGCCCCGGTCCGGGGTGTGATGGCCTTACATGCTCGTGGGATCCTGCCCAGCCTTTCCCACGAAGCATTCCACTCTTTCGCCCAGAGCAGCACCGCTGAAAACAGGAGAGCGAGTGGTTGTACCCTAAGCCCCTCCCTTTTGGGACATAGGATTAGGGTTGGACTCCTCTCCCCAACTAGGGTTAGGTCATGCAGTGCTTGTTGGGAGAACGAGCTTGTGCCATGAGCCATGGAGGGTGATGGCGTCGGCGGAGTGCAGGGTTGAGGGTCAACCAAAAACCCTTGATGCTGGGCGTCCGAAGCCTAGGGGCTTTCAAAGCCCCAGCACAATGCTTGAGTTGGGGGAACCAAAAGCCCTGCAAGGTTGGAGAGTACCGCCACTGAGGACGGACGGGGTCATTTCCCTGCCAGTAGGCGTGGGTGCATCTGGAAAACCTCACATTCTTCACAGTCCCTGCCCTTTTGGGCATGGGCGTCCCGGTTCTACATCAGGGTGAGCTGCATCGATAGCCCCTGAGTTCGAAACCCCATGAGTGAGGCCTCGGAAGGCCTCGGAAGGCTTCGAAACCCATGACTGAGGGTTCGGAGGCCTCAGAAGGCCTAAGACCTTGCAATGTCGCGTACACATGTTTGCAACAGTTGCCAGTTTGCGCGACTCCAAATTGGGGTCGCAAAAATCTCAACAAGCGAGGGCCTTCCCTGTGCACGTTTCTCTCATGTTGATCTCTTCCACCAGAAAGCTGCCTGCGGACCTGCGGAGGTCGTGGTTCTCAGGTTTCCGCTTTGAGCGCTTGGTCTGTGCGCCCCGAGTGGAAAGCGCAAGATGAGATGAGCCTAAAAATAGAAGAATTCGCGGCAGGAACTGGGTCCATTTCGCGGCTCCATTTTTGGGGCCGCGAGACGGCCCGTTTTTTGCCCTTTTTGCACGAATCCGATTGTTGGCTGCGCCCCTGCCCTTGCTCCAGACAGCGTCATCCTAAGCGCACGGGGCTTGTCCGAGGCAGCTGCGTGCGCGTCTTTGTAAACTTGCAGTGAGGCAGAACTGCAACTGGAGCCCATCCTGACGAAGCCAGAATTGCTTGTGTTTTGCAGGCCTGAAAGTGGGGTCGCCCGACAGCCCCGCTGAGCTGCAGGTCTGTTGGTTTTTCCTGTGGAAAGGAGTCACGCTTCAAGCTCTGGGAAGTTGACCAACGTGTCAACGTCTTCTGTGGTTGCGCAGAGTGCAGAGTCAGAACTTTGGCGGGCTTGGGTTTTGGACGGAATTGGACGGAAGTATTTAAGCCTGAAAAGCGTGTTGCGCCGTCGCTTAAGTTGCCATGCGCCCAATGAAGAAGAAGATATAGGGAAAGGCCGATGCCAGTGAAAGCCTTGTGAACGTCAGTTAGTTCGTCTTCACCATTGAAGTGCATGTTGAGGTTTAAATGGTTGGGAGCGTTCACTTGGCGTACACGCAACATCATCTTCGAGCCTCAGACTTTGCTGAAGGCTTCCAAGCCTCTCGAGGCCGGTCCGAGGCCTCCTCCAGTTGAACAGGGCGCGATTTTGTTTGCTTGCCCGCTGGAGACCAACATCAGCTTGCAATGTCACGCACAGGGCTTCTCAGGACTTTCTCACGCCCGTCCAAATCTTTGAAAGCTCGATCATCGAGGCCTTATTTGAGGCCCGTCGAGAAGTCTGAAATTAAAACTTGCGGCAGCAAGAATAGCTTTTGCAGGATCATCTTCAGCGGTCGAGGCCCCTTCGAGGTCCGTCGTGATGTTTTGAATAGAGTGAGAATGAAGAGGACTTGGAGCCAGCTGCGGCTTAAAATTCTTTTCACATGAAAGAAGAAAGGCAGCCAGGGGCCTTGCGGGGACCCCTTTAATAGCATTATAAGCCCGGGTCCCCGAGGCCTCGTAATCTTGCAAGCTAAAGGGGTTTTGGGCGAGGCCTTGCGAGGCCGAGGCCTTGAAAGTGAGGCCTCGGGAGGCCTCGGAATGCCTCGGAAGGCCTCGGAAGGCTTCGAAGCCCCATGACGCCTCAGAAGGCCTGAGGCCTTGCAATGTCGCGTACACATGTTTGCAAAAGTTGCCAGTTTGCGCGACTCCAAACTGGGGCCGAGAAATCTCAACAAGTCTGGCTTCGCGTGCGAGGGCCTCCCCTGTAGGAAGTTTTCTGCTTTTGAGTGTAGGCCGAGTTTTGTGACGAGAGTGACTCCACGTTCGTTTCGTCACGTCTCGTATCGTTCGTTTGTGTTTTGTTCTTGCAGAAGCTGAGCAGTGACAGTTTGGGAATGCGCTTGGGTCCGTGGTCAGTCTCTGATCATGGGCTGGCGGGTGTCACGCGGTCCGGTCCGTGGTCGAATGGGGCCGCGCGGTTCGGGTCGTGGCGAGCGACAGGGATTGCGGGGGTGTCACGCGCTTGGGTCCGTGGTCTCCGATGGTCTCTGATCACAAGTGAATGGGGTGTGACGTGGCATGGCAGGGGTTGAGGGGGCGGAGGCAGGGTGGACCCAGAATCAGAAAGAACATGCTAGACAACTTTTCAAAGCGGGCAAGTTGCATTCGCGCAGCTTGCTCCTTCCACAACCCACAATCGACTTGAGTTAAAAGCTGATCTTTTGTCGTAAAGACGGAGGCTGCGTACAGAAGAAGGCTCTGCAAATGTGGAAAGCAAGACCAAATGCTTTTTTTAGGCCTGGCAAAATGCATTCGGGCAGCGCTTGGACAGCCATGTCTATTGGGTTGTTGTCCCATTACAGCATCAAAACAAGCAAACACAAAACAAAAAAGTCGGTTGGTGTGTTGCGACCAACGTTTGCCCGACATGCATCTGAGGGCATTCTACATGCATTTTTCGTCGCCCGAAAAACGCATTTGGCACTGGTTTCCTATCATGTTGCAATCTTGGGTTCTGCCGGCTCATGACTTCTTCGACATTTGATGTCTATCTGCGCATAAGAACATCTATATATAGGATTTGAACGCGTGTAGAACCATAATCACCGTTTTGCAAAACTCCCGAAAAGGGCCCAAAATCAGAAGCAACATGCCCAGATGCATTTTGCAAAGCAGGCAAAATGCATTCGCGCAGTTTGCTCCTTCCAAAACCACAAAAAAAGACTCACTTGATAACTGACTTTTGTGTCAAAGACAGAGGCCCCGTAAGGAAGAAACCAAAGTCCGAATGCATTTTTCGCCCGTGCCCAAATGCATTCAGCGGTTTTCGCTTTGAAAAAGTGCGAAAAGAGCACGCGGCATTGCACATGTGGAAAGCAAGACCAAATGCGTGTTTCAGGCCTGGCAAAACGCATTCGGCAGCGTCTGGTCATCCATGTCTATTGGGTTATCTTTGCTCCATCACAGCATGAAAAGCAAACGAAAACAAAACAAAAAAGTAGGTTGGTGTTTTACGACCAACATCTACCCGACATGCATGTCTAGGGCATTCCAAATGCATTTTTCATCGCCCGAAGAATGCATTTGGCACTGGTTTCCTATCATGTTTAGTCTTGGTTTCTGCTGGCTCATGACGTATTCGATTCTTCTGATGTGTTTTCTGTGCATAAAAGTAGCTATAGGAATTGAAAAACGCGTTTAGAACAATGTTCGGCATCTTGCAGGAGTACCGAAACAGACCCAGAATCAGGAAGAACATGCTCAGGTGCATTCTTTAAGTGGGCAAAATGCATTCGCGTAGCTTGCTCCTTCCACAACCGCAATAGAATTGAGTTAAGAGCTGATCCTTCGTCGTAAAGACAAGCTGCGTGCAGAAGAGACGAATAAGGAAACTGCGTTTTTCGCGCGTGCCTAAATGCACTCAGCTGTTTTCGCCTTTGAAGAAGTACAGAAAGAGAGAGCATGGCGTTGCAAAGGTAGAAAGAAAGACCAAATGCATTTTTCAGGCCTGGCAAAATGCATGTGGGCAGCGCTTGGACATCCATGTCAATCCCTCGTTTGGATTGGGAAAGGGTTGTTCCGACCGCCTCCATACTGAGCCCAGTTTTTCTGATTGTAAACTCGGCCTGCCGAGTTTCACGCGTCGCGTTGTTGTTTCATGCCGCTTTCCCTTCATCTACAATCTTACTGTTTGGGGTCTTCGCCGGCATAATTTTTGAAAGTGTTGCGCTTTGTGTTAGGCCCAATCACCCAGCGCTTGAACAACGTTCCAATCGTGATCCTTGGCTCAGCACCGCTCTTGCGAAGTCTTTGGCCATGGGGGCTTCCTGCAACTTGGCTCCCGCATAGCGCATCTCTGCTTGGCTTGCCTCTTGAAGCCTCAGGCAACACTGGCTGCTGCAGGGATGCTCAGATTGGTAAATCATGTAGTTCTTCGCCGGGTGACGGCGGATGTTGCAACGTGATCAGGTCAGGATGCAGATGGCAGAGTCGTCGGCGACTGTGATTCAGCGTGTGGCTCAGTAGGTCTCCCTCCTGGACGCAACTCTCAAGACATTGATCTCCAATAAGGCTGTGAAGGATGTGGGCATGCCGCTCTCCTTGGCTTTCCCTCAAGACAAGTCTTCTGGTGAACAGAGGCCAAGCATGCCGAGACTCGAGACTTGGGGCGAGTCCCCCCAAGTTCTCTTTCTGCGGTCTGGAGGCCAACTCACATCTATGACCATGGCGCGGCCTATACTGGCAGCTGGATGGGAGAGCATCGAGAAGGGTATGGCGTCCAGGTTCCAGCGCTCCATGAATCCCTCAAATGGTGCTCGTGACATCCACCAGGTGTGGCCAGACGGGGCTCGTTATGAAGGTGCCAAAAGCCACAAAAGCCACAAAAGCCACAAAAGCCACAATGATTGTTTCGTCTCACGTGAATTTATCAGAATCTGCAGGGCAATGGAAGGCCGATAAGGCGCATGGCTGGGGTCGGCCACAGCCTTGTCAATGGCGTGATTTTAAGTGAAGTTTGCATATGAGGGTTTTTGTTAGTTTGCAATTCCAGTGCTTGCCTGGAGTTTCCCTGTCAGCTTATGCATTCTGTTTCAATGCCGCGACAGCTGTGGTCGATCCAAGGTTCGTTCATGCAGATGGCGACGTCTACGAGGGGGAGTGGTTTGGAGACACCGCCCACGGGCAGGAAGCACAGAAAATAACCCCGCAGAGCCATTGCCGACTTGCATCACTTCTCGAGGATGGCCATGAACCCATTCAAGCCCTTTCAGGCAAGGGACCTACAGCCATGCGGATGGGCCGACGACCCAGTTTGTGCAGAGCAGCATGGTTTTTGGTGTTCCGTGTTTTCCTCGGAGGTCCAAGTACGAGGGCCAGTGGGAGTACGACCGCCAGCATGGTCACGGCGTGGACGGGGGCTGGCGGTGTTGCACGCGCTGTTGTTTGCCAGCATTTGCCAGCACTTGCCAGCATGTGCCAGCATTTGCCAGCATGTGCCAGCAACGTTTGGAAGCCATTTGCGAATGTGTTGAGAGGAGCACTGGGTGGACGGTGCCCACTTCAGACTTTCCTGCTTCCGATCAATGCCAGACCTTGCATTCCATTCAATCCGCAAGGATTGCTCAGCGCACTGCCTGCTATGCCGCTGTGCCCAGGTGCCCGCTATGAGGGAACGTGATACACTGAGAGATGCTGGTTGACACCGGCACAGACACGAACGCAGGTGATACTGTGAATCTGAGACCTGGCTGTCGCTGAGGTACCAAGCGGGTAAAAAACATGGAAAAGGATAGTCCTGGGCTTATCGAGGCTACTTCAAATAATGTCCGTCATGGCTTCGTTGCACCCAGTTTCACCTGGGCCGATGGCTCCTCCTACGATGGCGAGGTGCGAGGGAAGCGTAGAGCTAAGAGATGAGCGAAGAGATGAAGAGGGAGGAGTTAACAAGAGTCAGAGGAAGAGGCACAAAGGAGGCACAAAGAGGCATCAACATTTATGTGCTTTCAGTGCACCTCTCGCAATGCTCTCAGTTGGTCGCTCTTCGTCAGTTCTTGAACAACGACATCCACGGCTCGGGTATTTACTCCTGGGGTGACGGTCGCAAGTACGAGGGACAGTGGGAAGGCCATGGAGATGGCAGATGCTTTGCAAGCTGCAAGTCACGTCCCTGTGAGTATCCTCTGTGAGTCTTGAGGCAACCGGATGCATGGCCATGGCAAGTTCGGCTGGTCAGCGGGCTTTTCAATGCGTTGCTTGCTAGAAAGCCGCATATGCTGCGTCGGATGCTCCGAGGCCGGATGGGCGGCACTACGAGGGAGAGTACGTTCACGACATCAAGGCCTGCCCTGCAGCTTGCTTGTTCCTTGTTTGCTCAGCGTATATTTCTGCTCGCAGCATGGCTACGGCATCTTCAAATGGCCAGATGGCCGAGAGCCAGGGCCACAGGGCAGCGTTTTTTTTCTAACGAGGCGTGTAGTTCCGTAATTCTTCCAATGCCAGGTACGATGGCCAGTGGCGGAATGGCAAGCAGCATGGTATCGGCTGGCCATGAACTCGTGAAAGTGCTGTCGGTCACTGGAACGGCACCACTCCTAGACATTCCTAGGTCTTCAGCGCCAAAGCAGGAGAAGCGCAACGGCGAATGGATGGATGGAAAGCGGATAAGGTGGGCTTTTTCTGCGACATCTCAGCGAAATCTGCGCGACATCTGCAAGAATCGTGTCCGCACTCAGATGGATCGGCGAATCCGAGCCGTAGCAGCGCTGGAAGCCGAGCGCCTGTCTCTTGAATTGATGTGGCAATTGGAGACGCGTTTTGCTTTCGCTTGGGGCCTTTGTGCATTTTCTGGGAGGTTATGAGCTTGAGGGTTGGTAGAAGGGGTAGTAGGAACCAACGAATAATGACTCGGATTGCACATCAAAAACATGCGCGTCGCCCCTGCTGGACTATTCCTTCGGCAGAGGACTTATCAAAAGCCTTAATTGAGGACAATTCCACGCTTCCCACGAATATGCTCGAAGGGTCAGGCTGCGTTTGCCTCGCCATCTTTCCCTGTCCCAGTCTCCGCCAGGTTCATAATCATATGCTTGTGTCTATCAATCCCATCATCGGCCTCAAGATTTGTAAACGACACTTTGGAATAGACTTCGTCAAGAGATCTGCCACCAAACCTGCTCCAGGGGCGTGCTCCACCAAGATGTCTCTTGTAGCCGTCATGTCTCTCAACCATGACGCCCTAAGGGCGAAATGGCGTGTGCGCCACCCATGAGCAACAAATTGACCTTCAAGCCAGGCAAATCGTCTTCTGCTAGCGGCGGTAACGTGGCTTCACTCAGGACGTCTCGTTCCAACTCCCAAGACACAGGACTCGACCTAAGTCCGTAAATGCCCTTTTTCGCACGAAGAAGCCGTCCCCGCTTGATCAGCCCCAGCGTTTGAAGAATCTTCGGAGGTCGCATTAAGATGGTGTTTTTGGATTTAAGATCCGAGTATAGGAACGCATGACTCACATCGAATCCCATTCCCTCCCAATCTTGATGATTGGCCAACTCCGAACACATCACCCTCAAGCAGTTCACATCCACATTCGACGACGCGTAAGCAGATGTATCTATGCCAGATGTGTCTTCATAGTTGCCACACACCACCAGCCTGACTCTCTCCAGAATCGCTACAGACGCCTGTTCAGCTGCGACGGCTGCGCCTTGTTGTAACACATGCTTGTCCTGCTGCATCAGCACCGGCTTCTCCGTACACACCAGAGACATCGGCAGGATCGCGGGGATTTCGTCTGTCTGCTTCAATCCTAAGTGCTCACGCAGCTCCAAAGGATTTTCCGGGAGCTCATCCCATACTTCCATCTCCTCCATCGAAGCCACCTCCTTCTGAGCAGCTAAGAACCAACGATGTTGTGCCTCCTCCGACCCAGTTGTGAACACCTTGGCGCTGACTGTTTCAGCTCCAGCCTTTTGCTTAGCCAAAACATTTAAAATCCTTTCTTGTTCTTCTGCATCAGCCTCCTCCTCAAAGGTCTCCACGTGATACTTGTCGCATGACTTCGGCTCATTAGATAGCGCCACTTTTGCCACCACGGCTCCTTCGCCTAAGCGTGCCCCAAAAACCAAGTCCCCATCCACAGGTCCGTGAGCTCGCTCTTCCATGGTAGGCAATTCATCGATGGTCTCGGAATCCATTTCTTTAACAGATCCCTTGGATGACACCCAGAACTTCTTTCCATCCAGGCTAGCTACCCTCCACTTCTCATCATCGGCTTCCAACTTCACAGGCACCCGTACCCTCATCAATCTGTGACTTCCATTGCGAGTCACCAGCACAAACGCCCCTTTCGACATAGAAGCATTCCGGGACAAAAACACTGCTCGCTCCGCGCGCGGTTCAAAGGCCTCAACATGATCCAGTTTAATCGCCACGGTGTCCCCAGGAACCAACTTTGGAACCCTCATTCCCAAGGCAATATCTCTCTGGCAAGCTGCAGCCTGCATGATGCAAAACGGCCAAAATTTTCGCTCCAATCCGCCTTCTATCAAGAATTGAAGCGCTCCTCGTTTCAGGGCCTGAACTTGCCTCTCAGCTCTCCCATTTGATGAGGGTGTAACACCGTCGTTGTTCTAAAAATTCCTTTCTTGTTGATTGCCTCATTGAAACGACTCGTGACCAGCTCAAGACCGTTGTCGCTGTGTAGTCTCACCACGCTGTCCTTTGTCCCAGTGATAGCCGACAGTTGAGCAAGGATGATCTCTGTAGCCCCCAATATTGTTTCCACTTTCCGGTTTGTAGCGGGAACTGCAAAAGCCAAGCCCATACCCTCAACTTGGAAAGTAAAAATGCCAATTACAAAATACTTGTAACCGCCAAAGCTCTCCTTGTAAGGTCCGGCAATATCAATTGCAAAAGATCCCAAAGCTATGTCTGCCGGTTTGACCCGTCTATGAGGATGACGGAGCCCTTGTGCCGCCAGTTCCTGAAAAGTCTTCCGCCTGGCAGCCTCATCGTCCTCTGTCTCCCTCTCGAGCGTCACAAAAGATGAGTCTGGGAGCTCTAGATCCGGCACGTCATCAAAAGCCTCGGAAGCAAGTCTTCCCTCGGGCGCCACTGGTGCAGCATGGCATAAACTCTCTTCTTCCCCGAACTCAACCTCAATCCCCATATCATAGTCCTGGCCCCCGCCATCCAAGCATAAGCTTTCCTGTTCTGAAGCCTGGACTGATCCCTGAACTTCCCCAGAAGTAGTCGAAGTAGGGTGCACTAAGGGTTCATTCGGGTCGTTGTTCGGTGGAGTGGCGTTGCTCATCGTATGGCTTGCTGCTGCTTGCGGCATGCGGTCTGCTGGTGTTGCATTTCACTGGTGCTCTGAAGCCCAAATCCTCGAGGGCCGCTTGGTCCTTCTCATCAAGATTTTTCCAGCCTCGAGGAACATAAGCCACAAGAACTTTCCGACTTCCTTCATACGGCTCTGTGCCGTGATACTTCCGGCCATTGAATATGACTGCTTTTCCTCCGCTTGTAGGCTGAAGTGTTCCGGCCAGGGGCTCCCCACCAGCTTTCACCATTCTCCAAGCAATCTCTTCCGGCTTCAATTTGGACGCATCGTCTGCCTCGATCCACACTTCTCCTCCTTTGTGTTCTGAAAATCCGATTACCACATTGTCATAGGCAGTGTCGTTCGGATCTTGGTGTGGTTTAAACACCACGTCCTGCGACACGACAAATGATAGGAATGGCACCGATGTTTGAGAAGAAATGAATTTCGTCAAGACCTTTGTGAGCCAGGGTCTCTCCTTGGCGATCGATGTTACTCCTCGCAAACCGCCAACACTCCATGCCCAAACACCCATAGGTTCACCTGCTTGCCAGCGTTCTGGATCTTGTTCATTCTATTAGTCCTGGCGCACGGCAATCTTGCTCTCGCTACCACATCGGCAGTGTCCACGTAGGGCCTTAGCAAACTCTTCTCCATCTTTGGCGTCCACAGCTCTGTGAGCCACCGCCTCTTCCTGAGCCATAGCTGCCCTTCCCATCTCATCCCATTCGATGATTTGACTCTCCTCCTGAGTCGCTATGAGTGGCTCGGAGTCTGAGTTCACCTGCACTGTGGCCTGCGAGCATCTCGATTTCCACTGCCTCGTCAACATGGGCCTTAGAATTCTGTAATGTTCCCATGGCAAATAGGGCAACCCATTTCGAACACCCAAAGAGACCCACAATGATCTCCCACTTGCGGAGGCAGCTTCAAGGCAGCCCCCTTCGGCGACCATGTGAAGGTCGCCCCGATGTCTACCCACTTGCACAGGCCGCACAGGGTAGATCTTCCTGACTCTGTCTGGATGTATATCTCACCTTCCCTGGTCCTCCACGCCTGCACACTTTGCCCGTCAGCAAGTTGTAGAGGAGATGGTCTCGATCTATGGGGTTTAGGGTCGGGCGCAGTTCTGACTATCTCATTGGCTCCAGAGTCTAGCAACACCCCCACGTCTCCATCTCCTTTTCTGGCTTGTGACCCTTGCGAAGAACCACTTCCCATCAAAGCTCCCCTCAGCTCCAATAGTCTGATCCTCGCAAGCTCCGGGATTCCATGGACATGTTCCACCTCCAAGTACACCAAATCGTGAACAATCTCAACACCCAGAGAATCAAAGTACGCGGCTCCCTCCTTGAAGTCTACCTGCTCCAAGATCTCCACTATGCTCATTCTCAAAATGTCCTCGGAATAAGGATCCCCGGATTGGGGCCTCATGTGTTCTGCTGGCTGGGATCCTGTCGCTCTGGATTGGCGTACTTTCGGAGGACGAGGGCTCTCAATCGCAGCCAAGAAAAGTTCATTTCGCGAGGGGCCAAGATCTAACAGCCATGCAATGACTCCGGGCCTTGCAACATTGTCCTCACACATGATCAACACGTCATGCACCGACACTATCTCTTGTTCTTCATCAATTGGAATGTTATATGCTGGGAGTCCTTGGTCCAAGCGAGCAACATTGACCATTACCCCCACCACTACGTCCAGGCCGTCTGTTTCCATCTGGAAATCCCTCGGCGCCGACATGATCTGTCCTCTCTGCCACTCCAAGAACTCGTCCGGCCTCATGTGAAGCCTCTACAAGGGATTTCTCTGAGGACCTGTGTCAAGAAACTCCTCCTCTGAGAACTCATCCTGGCTCTCTCGCGCATAGCTTGCTGTGGATTCATCTGACCCAGCCTCGCTGATATGAGTTATTTCTGAGTCGGAGCTCGATGGAGAATTCTCATCCTCTAGAAGATCTGAGCGAGCCATCTTGCATACACTTGCCAACACCACCGACGAGGCCTTGGGAACTGCGGCTGATGCTTTGGCTTTTGCTGCTGCTCCCTTCTCCACTCCCATCAGGGTTCCACTGGCTTTGGCTGCTGCTTTGGCTGTAGCTGCATCCTCATGAAGATATCGGCACTTGTCCCCAAGTTTGCACGTGCCCTTCTTGTGGTTCCGACACGGAATTTTCTTCCCCTGAGCATCTGTCCTTGTGGTTCCGACACGGAATTTTCTTCCTCTGAGCATCTGTCTTGGGATTCGTAGGTGGAGGTTGATGCGATGCGTCAGGATGCTTGTAGTAACAGCGATCTCCGAAGGAACAACTGCCCTTCTGTAGGAACGGACACGGGATCTTCTTCTTGTCCTCTTGGCCCTTGATCCCTTTGGTTCCATCCTTGCCCTTGCCTTTGAATCCCTTTCCTTTACCTTTGTTCGCCAAGCTGATCTCATGCTCGCCTGAGGTGTTGCTCTTCGAGTGCTCGTCCGCCGACAACAATCGGAGTTCTTTCTCGATATTCTCCAGCATGAGTTCGACACCCTGAGCCTTTCCCAGCTGTATCGACGTGTCCAATCTGCAAAGAGACATCCTTGTCCTCAGTGAATCATGCTTCTTTTCTAGCCTGGCAATAAGGGTTTGGAGACCTTTGAGCAGCTCAAATGGCGCCGCTTCCGGGAACCCTAGGCTCTGGATCCTGGAGCGAGCCAGTTTCCGCCGGCGTAGCACCTGAACCGCCTCGGTTGCTGAACCAGCCGGCTCAAGAGAGCGTATGAACTTGGTCAAGCTCGTTTGCTCTGAGCAACCTCCTGGTTGCACCTGGCCACTTAACTCCTCTAAGATCTGCACGGGGTGGACTCTCTGGGAGCACTCTTAGCAATTGCACCACAAGTCGTCCTGCATATCCCGAAGGGTAACGGCTGTAGGAGCCCAGGGCGGGCATCTCCCGGTCCTGAGCTTTGCACTGGTATCTCATCTCTGCTTCGGCCACACAAGCTTCCACAAAGGGTTGGAACTTCCCAGACGCTGTTCCCGCAACAGTACACAGTTGACGTTTCCAAGTGGAATAAGACATTCCCAGCTCCCACGGAGTTTTGCCTGAGAAGTCAAAGTTTGGGATGTCCGTCAGCACCTTCCACTGCTCCTTGTCGGTTTCCATGCGATCATCTTGTCTAGATTTCTCGCTCGTCTCACGTCCTCCACGCACCAGCCCCGGCGACGTTGGTCAGCCGCAGTTCGACGCCGACGAGGCCGAGAATGAATGGTGGGGTTGGCTATGTGTGGCGTGAAGACCCTGGGTGCCAGAATCCTTGGGGACTCACGCCGCCGCCGGGGCTGGTGTGTGAGGAAGTTGGCCATCCTGGCCGGCAAACTCCTACGTTCCCGGGGCTGGTGCGCGGAGAAGATGGCCAATATGGTCAGAATTCGCCTACAGACTCGGGGATGGTGTGCGGGGAAGATGGCCAGCATGGTCATAGTGCGCCCGCAGGCGCGGGGCTGGTGCACTCGCGTCCTGGCAGTAAGCGTCCGGGGTCAAAGGGAAATGAGCAGCACGGTCGCTAGCACCTTCCACCAACACTTCCATGTCTTGCCTCAGTTGTCCCAACTCCTCCTGAACTGCCTTCTTCGATCATGGCCACCCTGGCTAGCAAGGTCTCTGCGGCCTCTGCCACATGACTTGTCTGATTGCTCAAGCTGTCCACCCGAGCCCGAAGTTCTTCCACTAGCATATCACCTGTGGCTGAACGCGACGCCCCAGTCTGCCCGGCTACGGTCAGGGCTTCCGCCTGGCAGTTCAATCTGATGTCCTGGGCTTTCATGAGGTCCCGAAGTTTGGCAACCTGTGCTTCAAGCATTTCCATCTTGGCACTCATGGCTGCCTCCCGTTGCAGGAATCCATTCAACTCCCGCTGGTGACTTGCGTGATCCTGGACTTGCATTTCCAAGCTCTGCTTCACCTCATTCCTCATCTGTTCCATTGTTGCGCGCACTTCCATATCACCTCTAGCTTTGGCATCCACCAAGCCTTGGATGACTTCTTGCTGTCTCTGCAGGTCGGCATGAAGCTTCTCCATACCACGGACCATGTTTCCATAGCCCTCCTGCACGCCGTTGACTGTCTGACCAACATTCTCCAAAGCTGTAGCAAGCACTTCGGTCCGATACTGCACCCTGGAGGACAATTCAATCATAGCCGCCTGGATGTCAGCTGCAAAAGAAATGTCGTCGGAGATGCTAGTTGCGAAGGATCTCAGTGCATCTGCCGGCATCTGGATCTGGGTCATCTGCCTGAAGGTCACGACAGGGGATTGCTGCAGCTCTGCTGAAGCTAATGCTGCTGCTGCTGCTTGTTGATGCGGAGTGGTGCTGGGAGCCCTTGGGCTCATAACCTCTTGGAGGTTATGAGCTTGAGGGTTGGTAGAAGGGGTAGTAGGAACCAGCGAATAATGACTAGGAGCAGGAGATCTACGAAACTGAATAGGTACGTCATCAAGAGGGTCGTAAGTAGATTGCATAGCTTACATGCACTACAAGCATGGACGAACCTCAACCCCAATCCTTCCCTCAAAAACCCACACCATCGGCGATCTTTTGTCGCACTTGAGCCATGTCGAATGGCGGTACACTTCTCGAGTGTGCGTGTCATCTTGTACACTTCTCGAGTGTGCGTGTCATCCTTGTGCAGGATCCGAAACACATTTTGATTCATTTGGCCCTTTTGGAGACACCATTCTCTCTGCTGTCTCTGCAGTTTGATTAAGGTTCAGAGCTGGACAACCCTTTAAGGGTCGTCTGGGCAGGAGCGCCACATGGCTTTGCGGTCCGGTTATGGGATATGGAGAGCCCGCCATTGAAGACAAACAATGCAAAGACTTGGTAAAGAATCGCCATTATCCGGCCTCCATTTCCGATGAGTGTCGCAGCACAGGTCTCACAATTAGTCAGGTAGGCAATGGCCTACGCTAAGATTCTCTCAGAGTACTCTTGCAATCAGAAGCGTTCTGAGCCTGCAGCTTTTTAGCTTTTGCAAGGTGATACAGGTGGGCCCAGCAAGGTATGCAAGGTATGACACGCGGTCTTGGCTCATCAGCCGAAATGCAGCACGGGATGCGAGCCTTCCCTGGGCCTTGAAGGGATGTGGCCAGCTGCTTGCTGTCAATGTCAGGATATGGGAGAAGGAGCCACATGGAGCCACGCCAAGTTTTCTGAGGTTCAGGTGATGCACGTATGTGCACCCTTGGAAGGTTTCTGGGCCTTGAGCTGAGACAACGCAAATCACTTCTGTTAGCTCGGAGCCTGTTTGGAAGACAGAGAGGCGTGCTCTGTGTGTCACACTTTGTCCTCTGCATCTGGCCAGCACGGGGGCCGAGGATGAATGCGCGCAAAAGGGGACTTTCCGGAAACTTTTCGGAAACGACGGAACGACTCACCAAGGTCTCGGGAGCCTTGGGCTCCATCCGTGCCGCTCACCTTGACGCGGCTCACAGTCATACGAGAACCACTAATAAGAACGAAAGATGCACTCCATGGTTTCAGTTTTCAACTTTTCCTTCAGAGGCCCTGCGCATCGAGCCTCCAAGCTGCCAGCTCCAGTCCCTGCCTCAACTGTTGCTGAATCTTGCCCCACACCCCCCCCCCCCCCCCCCCCCCCACGCCCTCTCCGGTTTCAGCAGTTTTTTGGTTCCAAATGCCGAAGGTCCCAAAGCTATGAGCTGTCGGCTCAAAAACATCGAAGTTTTTCGATACAAAGAGGATGCTGACGCTCTCCGGGACTCGGGCTGAGTCCCCGACCTTCCGGCGAATTCCGGAGCGGAGCGAAACTTTGGCTCGCTGATTTTCTTTTTGTCGATTAAACACAGAGCATTCCCGACGTTGGCAACGTCGTCTCCCGTCTTCTTTCTTTGATTTGGTTCGCATCTGTTCCAACATCTCGGGGGAATAGAGCTTCATGAGGGAATGGCACCATCATTGCAGCGATGAGCAGCCATTAAAAGAACCAGTTGCATCGCAACTACACAGAGAGCGAGCGGCGGAGTGCCACTGAATGCAATGATTTTTGTGTTCAGCAGGCATCACTGCACTCAGCCGTGCTGAGCACAGACCTGCAAACTAAGTTCTTCCCAGTTCTTTTTTTTGAGCCGCGGAGCCATGCGCCCTTCGAGCCACCGAGCATCCCGCACAGTCATTGCTTGCAGAAGCACAAAGCCATGTCCAATGTGCAATCAGATATAGCGTCCCAGGCTGCGACACAAAATCAGACAAACCTGGGCAGTGGCAGTTGCTGCATTCCAGAATGTGCTCTTCATCAGGTTTGTGGATGCTTGCCATGGGTCATTCTCTGAACTGCGCTGGATAGCTCTTCCTCATCATCCCGAGTTCCTCTAAATGTCCTCCTTTTGTTTTGATCACACACTGGATGGGGGGTTCTCCTAGCAAAAAAGCCCACAAAACAGCAGTGCGCCTCCCCACCAAAGATGATCGTGAGAAGTAGCCATAAGTAGCCAATATTGATTGAGAGCAGGCAGCCCAAGAGGTCGCTCTCTATTTTGTTTGTTTGTTGAGGCCTTCCTTCGTTCCGGAGACCACGTTCTATGTGGTGGACTGTCCAGAGCAGGTGGGTGCTCATTGAGACATCGTCTGAACGATGTGGCCTGTTTTGCTAAGGTGAAGGAGATCACCATCAACGCAGAGAGTGTATTCCCGCTTTTTGCACATGGCCACAAGCCGAGCGCACTTCGTTTAAATTCCGCTGAGCTTGCATGGTTACGTTGCTACGCAACCGCACGTAGCGCTTGGGATTCAGCCCTTGAAACGATTCGTGCACACGATTTTGCGCGGATCGTGCACGGATTGTGCGGGGCTTAGGTGCGCTGCTGAAACAGCCTCGGCCAGCACGCCTTTTGACAGGAGAGCGCTGAAGTTGCATTTATGAACTGTTGTCATTTCGCCAGGATTGTGCAGCAGCTCGGTGCCGGCAGTGCCAAAGTGGTGGTGAGAAGCTCATCGTTTTTTTTCGTAGACTGCAGACTCGCAGTAGACTCAGTAGTCACTGTAGCGTCAAAGTCAGGGGCCAGTGGGCATGGGCCCTTGGCAGGTCTTGCGCGCCTGCACGAACGCTGCGGGCGCTGCGTGCCGCCACTACACGTTGGACCTGCACCGTAAGGGCTCCAGCGAAGCCCTGCTGGCCGAGTTGCTCGTAACCAGCGGAGGCGGCTAAAGCTTGCGTTATCACGGCTTGCAGGGCTAAGTCGGCTAAGTCATATAAGGGAATGTGGAATGCCCGAGTTGCCTCCCAGAGCTCAATTGGAAGGTGTGGACGTGCCGCTCTCCCCACCTTTCCATCCCTCGGAGCCTCGACTGCACGGCAAAGTTGACAAAGCAGGAACAATTATTTTAATGCTGGTACTGCCCAGTGAGAAGCCCAAACCCAAGCATTGTGTTCGCCGCAATGCACGCCGCGGAGCAAGTCGGGCTTCCTGATCGGGGTTTCTGCGCTTCGCGATCCGATTTTCGCCGATCCGGGCAGCCATTGCCGATAGCCTTGAACATTTCTGATCATTTATTTGCATTTTCGAGGTGAGCCTCTACCGCACAGATGTGCCGTTTGGTAGCGCCTCGACAAATGCAGGTCGCTAAGCGCCGTGTCCATCGTTGGATCTGCTTTTGCTCCGTTCATTTGACATCCTCTTCCCTTCTGCCTTCTCTCTCTCTCTTTCTTAATCTTGCGCCGTTTCTTATTTACGCAACAAAACTGCTTTGGCTTCACTTGCCTGGTTTCTATCGGATTCTATCGTTTCCGAGGTCGTGGCCTCGGCGGGCAAAGGTGGCTTCGTCTCTTTCGCCTCCTTTGCCGCGGCCGACCAGCACAGCCAGTTAGTCCCCTAATGGAGACATCTCTGCCTGAGACTGTTGCATGTTTGGTGTGTGTTGGGGATTCGTGGGAGGGGGTTCGTGCCAACAGAGCACAAAGCGTTTTTTCTTGGAAATACATGCGTGATTTTGCATACATCGGCGTATGGTATGTTGGTATGTGCGGCTTTGGTCTCAGGTCTCTGGATGTGAAGGTGCCGGCGAAGGCGTCTTCCTGGGGCTCCGAGGAGATTCCGTCTGCTGCACAATGAGACTGTGTTTCGAACTGTTTCGAACTGCTCTGGGATGCTGGGTTCTGTGCTGAGGTCCCACTGGCAAGCCCTGACGACTCTGAAGGTCTTCGTGGTCTCGGCGGATTGGTGACCCCAGCCTCCAGCAGGGGTGATGCTGGTGATGCTGGTGATGCTGAGTGCGTGTTCAAGCCATCAGGACTGGAAAGATGGAGTACACCGTGCAAGTTGGGACCCCAATGTGCTTCTGCGTTGCAAAACCTGGAAAGGTTGCAAGACTGTTGCTGCCTTGCCCAGTTCGGGCGTGCACCCAATGCCGACGCATCGCTTGCAACGATCGCATCCAACGTTGGCGCGCCCGGGCCACGGAGAGAGCTGCTCAAGACAAAGAGCTCAAAGAGCTCAACAGCGTGACTTTGTGTTTTCAAGCCTTCAACAAGAGACGAGGCCATACCCGGTCGGGGAGCCGGATTTGTGCAGAGCTCATTAGAGGGTGCCACCAGGTTCCGCAGTTGCTCGAGCTCCATGCTCTGTCTTGATCATCAGGCGAAGGTACATGCTGGCTGTTCCGCGAGGGCCCGCTGAGTGCATCACAACCATGAAAAGGTCACCGTGCACCCTGCCACACCCGAGCGGAGGACACGAGAGGTGGCGCTGAGCGCCACTGCAATGGACAAGGACGCGTGGAATGAAATTCTCAGAATGAGCCTCAGAATGGGTGGCAAATCATGCCATGGTCTTCTCCTGTCTTTCAGAGGAGGGAGCACAGGTCAAATTGGATGGCCAGCACGGTCGTGGCTATGCATCTGCTGCCAGAGTCGCAGCTCTCGCCTCATAAATGGGCGACACGGCGACATTCTTGTGGCCCAGGTCCTCAAGCTCAACCCTTCCGCACCATACAAGAGGGTAACGATCAGAGTAAAGGCCGCGGATGAGGCGCTTTGTCCGCAATGTGTTTGACAGCCCATCGCAGCCCAACCAATCCCCCAACAGGTCACTATCAAGAGCTACCTTCTGGTTGTCGCCATGACCGACCACAGTGAGTGGGCTATGTTGGAGGACTTGGCTGTGTGCTCAGTCTGCAGCACGAGTAGGACGTTCTTTGCAGCTGGGCTGCACCCGTCTGAAAACTAGTGGGGACATGGGGAGCTTCAGCAAGAACTTCGTTGAGGTGGTCCCCAGCTGCGAGGGAGGCCTCAGGCCAGATTTTGAAATGGACGCCGAGGCCTCGGACAAGACAGAACGATACATCGAACAAGATCTCGACATAGCGGCAAAAGACCATGCCGAGGGGACGTTTGGAATCCAAGTTCCCAGATTCTCCTGTGATGTTAGGTCTTCCACTACCGCTGTCTCTTGGCCAATGATGTCGAAGCTCTCGAGGCGAGAGGGAGGGCGGTAGAGAGAGAGAGAGAGAGGTAGAAGAGGAAGAACTCTACCCACCTCGACTGCCCCATGCCGTCACATATGCTTCTTGCATCTTCTTGCGTCACCCTCACCTTGCAAAAAGAGCGAGGAATAAGGAATGTTTGCAGAGGCAAGGAACACGGCGAAAGCCGGAGTGAGTGCTCCGGCACAGTTGGCGGACAAACCTGCTTGGCACATGATACACGGGGAGCTCACAGGGGGAGAGCTCACAGGGAGAGTTTTGAGTAGCACCTGGGGCACCCACGCAAAGCACAAGAAAAGGCCGGGGAGGAGCCTTGGAGATGAATCTGACTCTGCCCCTCCTTTTCTTGTTCCCTTTTTTTTTTTGGCTCGAATTACACAAGAAGCTTTTCCGAGGTCAAACGCTTTTGGTGATCCATTTTGTGGTGTTTGCTTTCGAGAACTCAAAGCGGCCGAGGCGTTGAGGAGAGAGCGAAAGAGAGAGTCAAACGGGAAAAATGGGGGGGGGGGGGGGCAGAACCCCCCCCAGACGGACGAGGCCGAGTGGGTGACTCAGTGACTCAGTGACAATGAGCGGGATATGAGTGACTAGAAGGCTGGGGGATGAGCCCCGGGAAAAAGCAACAGCTGCAAGGGGGGCGTTGCCAAGAACTGCTACAGTATATCTGAAGGGCCACAGACGACCACAAGTCCCTGGATTGGAGTGCGTTTCCCAGTTCTGGATTGCTTCGTTTCAGTTGGTTGCAACGTGATATACCTTCAGAAGGCCATTGAGTTGTTGGGTCACGTGGGACCCTTCTGCACCTTCCACGACGTCTTTAGACTGCAGCCTGCAGCAGCTTGGGCACCTTTTTGCTTGTTTCCGTGGGCCGTGCCTTCGCGCCTTGACTCTCCGATGGTGTCGGTTTACCTGTGCAGTACAGACCGAGTCACCCGAGGATGCTGCACATGGCACAGGTTGGGGAGCTTCAAATGCTGAGGCTGAAAAATGCTCATGGTGAATCAGCATTGTGGCTGATATTTTTGGGTTCGGATTCGCATTTTTGCCGCTTTTCGGGCTATCAGTCGGCATTGGTGCTTATGGAAAGTGGATGGATGTTTTGTTTCAAGTTTTGTTTCAAGCTTTTGTCGTGTACCATATCGTCAAAACGCGACGCGCTGCAAACATGAGATTTGCACGGCTGGTTGGCCTTGAAGGTGAGCGCCACCACGGGGTGGCCTTCAAACGTTCTGAGATTTGTACCGCAAACGGAAACGGGCACGGCGACTGTGTTCTCACCTTAGGCCCTGTGATGCCTACCCTGCCCCGATTTGCTACTTCGATGTGCTTTCACTCGTGTGCGGCCTTCGTTGCTGCAAGACGTTTGAGGCCTTGGCAACATAGGCTCACAAGACAGAGGCGTCCGGTACAATGGTGCAATGATGAGCAACGCACACAGTCATAAACAGCAAGCGCGAGCTTCCCCAAGATAAACGGAGTCAAGCCCGAGAAGCTAAACGGCCCATAGGATACTGACAAAGACCAGCCAATAAAGCGTGTTCACACCAGTTCGAAGAAACAAGCGCAGAAAATCAACCGTGGCTGGTGTTCTCTACATCCTAGGCTGACTTGGTCAAGTGGAAGGGGAATGGAAGGTGAGGAGGTCTCACTTTGCCAATCTGGTCAGGTGATCCCGACCGTCATGTGGATGCCAGCCTTCAACCAGCAGCTGCAGATCCACATCAAGGAGTCCATAGTTCAGAGCCACTGCTGGCGGTGTGAATTTCTCAGCGACCCCACTGTGAGGACAAGGAGTGGAAGTCGAAAGCTCAGCAGCACACCACGGGCATGTCGCAATACTTCAACGACTTTGTTTTGGACCTGCTGAACGTTTCTGACGTTTGTAAGCTTGTTTATTTGTGCTGTCTGTGTGCAGAAGTGGCAACGTGTTCCAGCAGCCTCTCAGCGATGACGGAAAGGCAGAGGCATGGACAGAAGGAGCATTTTTCATGCGATTGATTCTCAAAGCGGAAGCCTGAGGTCGACATCACTGTCCTGGCTTCGGACCATAAGCACAAGGCTTTCTCAAGGCAAATGTGGCATAGTTCGGCCTCAGCACGGCTCCGTCCAGGCAACGTATCATGTCTCTGCACAAGGCTCTCCTTTGAACGAGTGCCGTGCCCAGTCTTCCAGTCCACGTAAGACAAAACGTTCAAGTCGAGGAAGCCACATGAGCAAACGCGCGAGCGGCAGAGGCGCGGCCGACTTTTCACTACACTGGAGCCGCCGCCGAAGGAGGCTCCCATCAAGGTGACGCCCCGGCCGGCCTCTCAGAGTCCTTTGCTGCCACCAAACAAGCACGCACCGCACGCACCCGGCTGGCTCCGAAAGTCTGCAGCGAACAGCCTGAGCAGAGGCCCCAGTACCGCTTCCGCTCCACTGCCTCGACCACTGAAAGGCGCGATGCCATTCGCATCTCTCCTCCCTCCTCCCTCCTCCCTCCTTTCCCTCCTCTCCCTCCTCTCCCTCCTCTCCCTCCTCTCCCTCCTCTCCCTCCTCTCCCTCCTCTCCCTCCTCTCCCTCCTCTCCCTCCTCTCCCTCCTCCTCTCCCTCCTCCTCTCCCTCCTCCTCTCCCTCCTCCTCTCCCTCCTCCTCTCCCTTC